ATGTACAATTGCTTCCATGCCTTCCTCCTTTTCTACTTCCTATTTGTTTGACTAATAGATAAACTGTCTGAGGCAGGGAGCATCTTGCACAGTCTTCAAAGCAGGTATGACATTTTTATTAGCATGTATAGGGTTGCAGAGACTCACAGCTACCATACAGATAATCCCACCACCTGACCACTGCTCACAGCTGGGCACCACAACAACCAGAGAGCAAAACGGTTCTGAGATGTGCTTGTTTATGTTTAGTTTATGTACTTCAGCCTGCAGGTGAACTGGAGCAAGCACCAGGACTTCCATCTATTAAAGGCAGTTGAGACAATGTTGAAAACACACAGTTCAACACAGTCCTGCATCTGGCTCCCTAGGGCAGGAACAGCCAAGCCTTTGCCTCAGTGTGGCTGAAGAGGATTTGGAATGGCTCTGCCAACAGCAAATTACACAGCTTTTAAAGTAGATAGTAGATATGGTGCTCTCAAAATAAGAGAAATTGAAAATTGACGTTGAAAATAAGAGAATTTAAAAGATGCATAACATCTGTAATTGTAGACAAACTCCTCACCTCCTCCTCCTGCAGAAGTGTTGAGAAGTATTTCAGTGGATGCCTTCCAGAAGGACACATCCATCTGCATCCCTCTGACAATAAGCACAACACACCCCATGACACCTGTGACCTACAGTCACAGCTCAGCATCTCACTATCTCTGACCTTCAACAAATGCAAACTGCAATTTGTACTTTATACAGAATACACCATATTAAACCAGAAGTCATCATATTCCATCCATGCTCTCCATGGGGTGAAAAAGGCATAATGACTCCATGAATTATAAGATCCAGGTCGTGCACAGGTTGCTTGGCCGAGTGCAGTCCTCACTGAGCGTCACTGAACATACACATCACATCAAGGTGGGTGAAGTTACAGGTGTCTACACTGCTGGACTCAAGACCACCACTGGAGATGTGAACAGTACAAATTGTAGCATAGACATGAGACAGAGAAAGAGATGAAAAAGAGGGTGCCAACTTCATTAAAACCCTTCCCAGGCGTGACAAAAGTAGTAACCGGGTGGTCAGAGCCTATGAAGACAAGGCCTGGTTCCTCTCATCCCAGCTGTAACATGCTCCCTCTTCCTTCCTGCTGCTGAAAGGTTTGAACGGAAGCTCCTTCTCCACTGTTCCTGCCACGGGAAGACCAGCTCACCTGTCCTGGGCAGCACCACACAAGTCCCACTTTCCTGCTGACCCACCTCTTCTGTCCCATTGCCACCATCCAGCTCACTCTAAACCTCCTTCAGCCCTGTCCCCTCACAGGTCACCTTGCTCCCTGTCACCACCTCCGAAAGACACCTGCATCTCCACCCTCAGGCCCCTGCGCACCTGCCAGCTCCAGCCGCCTGCCCTCACTTCAGCCACCTTCCCCTTGATGTCCAGTCAAACACCTTTCTCCTTCGTCCTGCAGCCACTCTGCCGCACAAAGCCCCTGCAAGCGGCACTGCCACCGGTGCCTGGATCCCTACACCACCTCTCCATCCCCACGGCACACAGGAACCCCCAAAGCCAGGGCTCTGCATCTCCTCCAGCTTCACTCCAGCCACGGGGCTCCCCAAACCTTAGGCGGGCCCCCAAGAGCCTCTTCCCCCTGGCACCTCACGCACACCCGGCCAGCCCCGCCGGAGCCTCTGCCCCAAGGGCCTGCGCAGCCCCCACACTCACAGCCGCCCCTTTTCCCAGGGGCGCAGCCCCCCGGCACGGCACGGCGCGACCCCAGACCCCCCGAGCGGCTCCCCCCTACCTGGGCGGGCTCCGCGCCGGCGGGCAGCCCCTCGGGCAGGGCCTGGAGCAGCAGCAGGGCCATGGCGGCGCGGAGCCTCCTCGCCATGCCCCCCACCCCCCGCTCCCGCCTCCCCGGCCCGACTGCGGCCCGGGACGGGAGCCCAGGGGCACCCCGCGCCCGGACCCGCCCTCGGCACTCCTCTATTGGGCGGCCGGCGCAGCTTTCCGCTTGCCATTGATTCAGCGCGATGTCGCTTATGGCAGAACCGGGAGGGGCGGGGTCTGCGTGCAGGGCGCTGCCATCTTGAGTGTGGCACAGCGAGGAGGAAGCCGGAGGGCGCACTCGGGCCGCCATGTTGTGAGTGGCGGAACTGGCTGGAGACGGGTGCGGGGGCTGCGCGCACACACACACTGACACACAGACAGACCCACAGCCTCCCTGTGGCTGCCAGGCACTCATCCTCCATTCATCTGGTCACTCCTGCTCAGCATGAGCCCTGCTCAGCCTCCTCCCCAGTGCGCTCACATTGCTCCAAACCCCAGCAGCCCGCCCGGACCTGGGGACCGGGGCATGGAGCGGAGGCTGGCATGGCAGCAGCGGCATGGCTCTGGGCTCAGGGCCTCCAGAGGTTAGCAGTCTGTTGGTGCCAGAGGGTAGCAATCTGTTGGTGCCAGCACCACTGGCAGACATAAGCAGCATGGAGAAGAGGATCTTCCCCAGCAGCTGTGTCCCAGCATGTCCCCACACAGTGATTGTCCACAATCCCAGCCGGAGTGGGGGCATCTTGAGCACTGGGCATTGATTCCCAGCTCGGCAAACAGCCCACACTCCTGGGGCAGTGTCAGAGGGTTTCTGCACTGCCACTCCCAGCAGAGTACCAGACAGGCTCCATGCCGGATTGGCATGATGAGGTTCATCAGATGATCAGATAACACATTAAGAAAGGCCAGAAAAAATAATTGATTTAGCAACTTATCTCCTGCCCTGGCTTTTTTCTATCCAGATCAGCTCTCTTGACTGCTGCTAGTGTGGGCCAGCAGGCGTTCACCTGTCACACCTTCACCATGCCCTCTCCTCTTCCTGTGGCAGCCAGATCCTGGCCTCCCGCGGCCCTTGGGACTGAAGACAGTCCCTTCCTGCTGGCATTGCCAGTGCTTGAGAGAGCCCAGCAGCCTCCCAGCCCCTGCTCAGGCTCTGCTGCTCACCAACGTGACATCTTTGGTGTGGTTACATTTGAAGTGAGGTCGTAAATATGCTGGAACATTGACATTTCCGCCACACACAGTTATTGAAGGAGCTTTATTCCTGTTCCCAGCTAGCCCTGAAATTAGAGGCACAGCAGGGAGAAGGCATGGAGATCAGGGAGCACAGGACAAGCCCAGATCAGGTGTGACTCATTGTTGGAGAGCAATTAACACTTGCTGCTCTTCCCAAGCAGGGATTCGTCTGGCTCTGATTCTTTGCAATAAGGTTTCCTTCCTGTTGCAATGGGAAATGGAGGCCAGACTGGCCACAGCTTGCAGCAACTCCTCTGCTCCCCAGTGAGACCAAGGCAGGCTGCAGACTTACTGTGGGTTTGGGGAGGGCTGGCAGGCTCTGGCTGCAGTGGCCATGTCCAGAGTGATGTGAGCTGTTGAGATGACTTGAATCCTCAGGGGGAGATTCCAGCTACAACCTAGAAACCTAGAAACCCTGCTGAGCTGAACTGTCAGCTGGCATAAATCCATGTTGATCTGAAGAGGGAATCCACTGCTCTAAGCTCAGGGAGGTGGGAAGGAAGCTCTGTCTTGAGCATGGCTTGCCAATTCTATAAGCCCAGAGCAAACCTCTTACTCTGTCCATAAGCAATAAACTGCACCATGTCCCACTCCCCAGGGCAGGGAAAGAGCTGATGCAAGATGGCAACAGCACTTCAGGGGGTCTCTGTGCTCCACTGCCCCTCAGGGCAGGAAAAAAGGAGCAGCCAAACAGCTGAGGCTTTTCTGCCATGGTCCCAAACTTGGCTTCATGTGGCTGCTGCCCCAGAATCACTGCCCAAAGAACTCCCTGCCCTGCCAGGACCCCTCCAAACTGCCAAGGCAGGAGGGGTGAACAGCAAGAACAGGGGAAAGGCAGTTTTTGGGTGCTACAGCACATCATTTTACAAACATTGCCATGCTCCCAAGCATGCCAGAGTCACCTTGGTCCAAAAGACTGCTACAGGTACTTTTCTGAGAGCCCTCACAGCTGTTTTGGGTGTAGGACAGGAGCAGTGTGAGCTAAGGAGCTTAAGAAAAGCAGAGGGCAGTCTCCTTGTGGCTCCTCTCCACTCCCAGCAGGAGTGACATCTGTTTTATTTCATGTGTTTATCTATTACTTTAATTGTGCTTTAACAAGAGATCTAATAATGCCCAGGGAACAGATATACAAGTTTTCCTACTTTCTCTTCTACTGTTAATTCTTTCAGAGCTCTTTTACAGCTTTCTAGGAGTAGCTACATGTGGTTGGAGACATTATCCTTTGCCTGTTGCAGCTTTGGCAGGAGTAAATCTGCTGTGGATACAGCTTGGCACTTCAAGAAGTACCTTTTGGGTTTGGCTGCTCTCTCTGAAGGAGCAGGATGTGTCTCTACTTGGGCACATGGCTGATCTGAGAATGGTGCTGCCCTAGACATCTGACACATATCCCTGACTGGAGGGAGGAGCATGGATCATCCGCTGGGCCATGGGACTCTCGGAGCAGCCACGATTGAAAGCAGGGGCTTTAGTCCAGGACTTGGGCTCCTTTCTCCCCCAAACTAGGCTGCAGCACGCTCATGCTGCTCTCCTTTGGGGTGGGAGCAGCCTCATGGCAGACCCAAGATAGCACCATGAAACTCTGCCTGGCCATGAAGATAAACAGCACCCATGGGTGTAGGAAGGGTCTCCCAGTGTTATCCTCCCAGGCCCCAGAAGAGGATGACTGTCACTGTAAGCAGAGCACAATCACCTTTGTCACTTGCCATGGGACCTTGCAGCCCCAAGAACCTCTTGGTGAAGGCTGCCATTGAATGCCCCAGGGTTTCAGAGCTCATGCCATCCCTTACACTCTTCTTCCTTCTCCTGGCCCCTTTGCTCACCCTCACCCTGATGCTTGGTCAGTCACAAAGCCCACACTTTTCCCTTCCAAAGCAAGCATGAGACCCACATACCAGCCCAGCCCAGAGAACCAGAACCAGAGATCAGCCAGAAGCACAACCCACAGATGGGTTTTAAAAATCATCACATTTATTTTTCAACCTTCCTCTGCTGTTTGCAGTGCAGCAGCAGTGACTGAATTCAGAGCCTGAGTGAATGCCTTGACAGCTCTGTGACAAGAAAGAGAGAAGCTACTGAAGAGTGTTCAGTGGAAAGACACAAAGATGATGAGGGATTTGGAGCCTCTTTCTCTCCTCTCTTATGAGGAGAGAATGTGAGAGCCAGGTCTGTTCAGTCTGGAAAAAGAGAAGACTGAGAGGGATCTAATCTATGCATATAAATGTCTCAAAGGCAGGTGACAAAAGGATGGTGCCAGGCTCTTTTCAGTGGTGCCCAGCAACAGGACAAGGAACAATGGCCATAAACTAAACCACAAGAAGTTTCACCTCAACATGAGGAAGAAATTCTTTACATTGAGGATAGCAAAGCAGTGGAACAGGCTGCCCAGGCAGGTGGAATCTCTCCCTCTGGAAATACTCAAAACTCACCTGGATACATTCCTGTGTAACCTGCTCTAGTGACTCTGCCTCAGCAGGGGAGCTGGAATAGATGACCTCCAGAGGTCCTTCCAACCATAACAATTCTATGATTTCTGTGTCTTCTTCCCCATGTCAAAGGGGGCACAGAGACAATTGTTCCCTAAAGCTGCAGTTTCATGCTTTCACTGTGGGGACTGGAGATGTAGGACAAGGGTGACAGTGCTCAGAGGAATGAAAAAAATAGAGCTAAAAACAATTAGCTATTTCTTTCCTGGCTTGTGGCAAACACAGAGTGAATAGAACCTGAACCTGAGAGCAAGGAATGCACAGTCCAAGCATTGATCTCTGGACTTTGGGATGGTGAGTCTCATGGTGCAGAGAGAACTGGTCCCTTCACACCTGCCAAGACATGATCCATCTCCTGGGAAGAGGCTACTGTGGTGGTTTAAGGCAGGAATGTGGTTTGGTTGCTGGTACAATGGCAGGATACCTGCTTTTAGAGGTAGAACTGTGCTCTGAGCCCCAAGGGAGAGAGCCTCATGCCTCATGGGGCCAAACCCAGTGAGGCCCAAACAGGCTGGGCCAAAGGAAGGCACAGGAAGCACAGGCATCCCTCAGGGCAAGAGGGACATGGGAAGGCTGAGACATGGCCAGCAGCAGATAGGCATGGGTCAGGACAAGCCAAAATGCTGCAAGCTGGACACAGAGTCAGACCCTGATTCTACAGTGGAAGAAGGCTGCAGAGAAGGTGCTGGGTGGGGGCAGAGATCTGGGCTGGACTGTCCCTCTGACCCTGCTCAGGGGATGTGGGAATGGTGGTGGCAGGAGGCCAGAGGGGTGTGATGGCTCCTGAGGTAGTCTCCATTCACAGTCCTTTGTTAAAATAGACATATGGCACTTGGTCCCCGTGCTTGGCCATGATACTGTCACGCAGCTCCACCTCAAGGTCAGCCAGTGCAAGGGAGCTGTGGAGAGGGAGATACACACTGAGAGCCAAGATCCTCCTCCCCAACCACCAGTCAAACCACCCTCCCTTCCCATTGCCATTTGAGGCCTCTGCAGTCCCTGAGATCTTGCAGGCTCTTGGCAAGACCCACCACTCCTCCCTCCCAGTGCTGGAAGGCAGAGAGTTGCCCATGCAGCCAGGTATCCTGTTGGTCCCAGCACAGAGCTCACAGAGCAGGGCAGGCACATGTTTTCCTGCTGCCCTGGGCACCAGTGTGTGCAGGCAAACACTGCTTTGGGTTGAAGGGTGGGTGCCCATCCTGCTTCTCCTGGGATGGGCAGAGAGGAACTAGGGAAGGAGGAAGGCTCCCAAGATCCCATGCAGGAGGGGGAAGCAGTGGAAGAGGTACCATCGCTGGGGGAAGAGGGCACAGGCTGCTGGCACCATGAACAGGAGGCTGTGGGACAGAGAAGAGCAGAGATTAGTCCTGGGAATCCCAGCCTGTTTGCCCTCCAGCCACAGGGATTTCAGCCCAAGGAGTGCTGCTCACACCCCATGACTCCCAATAACTGGGGAAAGCCCAAGCTGAAAGGTAAGCAGCTTTGCAATTTCTTCTGGGAAAGAGTATTTTTTCAAGCATCTCTTTGGAGCCATACTCCAGGCACTCACAGGTGACTGAGCAGTGAGATACTTACAAGCCCCCACAGAGCAGCACCTGCAGAGGCCCGTGGAGAACCTGGATCCGCTGCAAGAGAAGAGCCAGAATTGAGTCCCTGGCCTCACCACAAGACCCACTCACAGGGTGGGCAGACTTCTCCCCTCAGTAGGACTGAATGCCCAACACCTGTGGTGTGAACCAAACCCTGCCACCCTCCCACAGCCTCCCCATGTCACTTGAGAGGCCACTGGTGTATCAATGACTGAACTAGGGAGCAAAGCAAGCCAGGCTCTGCAAATCCCCATTTGATCCCCAGCATATCAGCAGCAGGTATGGGCTGGAGCACCACAGAACCCACTGGCTGAGAGGAGAAACATGCACTCACCTGCATGAAGGTGAATTTCTCCAGCCGCTCCATGATGATGGGCAAAATAACTAGGCACAGAGAGCAAAGGTCAGCCCAGATCCCAGAACAGCTATCCTGCTAGCCAGCCTGCAGGGCTGTCCCAGCAGGACCATCTACCTGGAGGCCATGGAAGCACCTAGTTATGCTGGGGACTGCTGGGTGTTTGCTGCAGCAAGGACCTGACGTGAGACCCCCACACATCCACCATTGGGGCAGCATGGTCTGTGATCCTCATGCTCCTGCCCTTTCTTCTGGGCTTGCAGCATGTCAAAGGTCTCAGGAGCAGAGGGGGTGCCAGGCTGCAGGCTGAGGGGCTAGGGCCAGAAAGCACGAGAGAAGCATCCTTATGGGGCCAAACTGCCCCCTGTCTTCCAGGCTGTGGTTTGGCATGGAGGGGGCTGGGGAACCTCTGATAGGAATGGCTGGATGAGGAGAGCAAATGCCACCTGGGATGCAGGGCCACCCTCCCTCTTTTCCATGAGGGAAAATGAAGCAGGGTAGGGCACGGTGGTGGGTCCAGGAGAGTCCCCAGTTCAGCTGCACACCCCCGTGCCCCGCACTCACTCATGCCCGGTGCTGCCATGGTGATCCTGGAGAGCACAACCTGCGCGATGCCCTTCACTGCTGCCCTCTGCAAGCAAAACCAGCAGGTGAGCCCCGGCAGCGCCCTGCCCCAACCCACATCCCCATCCCCAGTGCCCCAATCTGCATCACCATCCCCAGACTCACCCTGGAGCGGCCGAGCTCGTTGTTGTTCTCATCTGTCACTGTGATCCCGTTGATGATCTCCCTGAAGGGGACAGGCAGTTGTGAGTGGAGGATGGGATGGTCGGGAAAGCATAAGAACACAGCAACGGGGTGAGGGGGTGCCAGGGGAGTCCTCTATACACAGCAGCCCCAGATTCCCCCAGGGCACGGGGCTCCAGCACCCCGGGGCACCACGGTCCCCAGCCCAGCCGATGCTGCCATCTTCAGGGCACAGCTGCGAGCAGGATCTGGCCGTGCTAGGGACAGACACTGCCTGGATACACAGCTGAGCCAGGGCAAAGTCCTTCACACAGTACCCGAGCTCCTTGTGCCCTGACTTGTGGGGAACCCCGAGCAGCAGACACAGGTCACCACAAGGACCTCATCTGGGGTGTGCCAGCATCAGGATATCATGGGCTAGGGTTCTCCCATGCCATGCAGGAGATCTTTGGGTTTGAGGGATCTTCCAGCACAGATTCCAGAGCAGCTATCAGCCAAAAATCCCCCTCCTGCTCTAGTTGGAGGCTGAGCCATCCCACCCAGCACCCTCCACCACAGACACAGCACTGCAAATGCACAGACCCCAGTTCACCCCTCTCCAGCTCCCAGGAGGGGAATCCAAGGCAGGGAGGCCAGGCAGCCCAGGAGCCTGGCTGCCACCAGCTTGCCTTTGGAGGGAGCTGGGTCCCTCAAGCGCCCCAGGCACGTGTGACACTTACTGTTGCCGCATCATGGGGATATTGACGCAGTTGGCAGCAGCCACAGCTGCAAAGGGGACCCAGCGCGCCAGCAAGGGGGGAGCTCGCTGTGGGAAACAGGCTGGCATCAGCATGGGAGAGCAGCATGTGCCCAGCTGCCCCACCTGGCCCTAGCCTGGCATACCTTGGTGTAGAGGTTGAGTCCCACTGCGGTGGCCAGGGCTGTACTGGTGGCTGTGACATAAGCCACCCCGATTTGCCTGGACAGCGATTTCAAAGAAGAGAGACAACAGAATCACCAACTCTGGCTCAGCCCCGTTCCCTCTGTGTCCAAGACACTGCATAAAGGGTCTTTACAGGGCATCCAGGGTGCATCAAATGGGCACACTGCATCCTGTGGGGCCCGCTCACCTCAGGGAGATGGGGGAGGCAGCGTTGCGGTTGGTGTAGTTGACAAAGGCATTGAAGGACTGGTTCACCCACTGCCAGAAAACCACTGCAGGCACTGTCCTGTGGAGGGAAGGGATGGGAGAGCACCCGAGGGCTATCAGGGACACCTGGCCTGTGCCCGTGGCCAGGCTTGGCAGAGAGACAGCCAAGATGCCTGCAATCCACTCATCATGGTGTCTCCAAAGGGAAACTGAGGAACTGTGGCAAAGTGACAAGCCAGTGGCAGAGCTGGGAAATGATCCCAGGAGTTCTGGTTGCCCTGGGGAGCACAGGAAGGAGGGGCCCAGTCCTGCAAGGCACTTGGGCAGGGGTGGGAGACACAGCTCTCAGTAGAGTGGCAGCCATCCTCTGCTGGGCTGAGATAAGCCTTTGTCAAAGCAAGCAGCAAGGAGGGGACACATGGGGACAGAAGTGGCTCTGGGGAATGAGGGTGCCTGGGTTTCTACTGGTGTCTCAAGGACACTGGTGTCTCAGGGACACTGGTGTGGGGCAGGAAGGGACACAGGGAGCACGCTTTGGAATGCAGGGGGGTGGAGAAGGGAAAGGCAGGGAGCTGTCAGCAGGGGCTGGGGATGCTGAAGCAGCCTGGACTAGGGCCACATTTGGTCCTCATTTCCAAAGACTGCTATGGGCTACAGACCAAGAGCAGCAGCCAAGAAGGATGTGGTTGCATTAATCATTACAGGAGATATGGGAAGAGCTCAGCTGAGCTCAGGGTGAGGTGAGACCATTCCCAGCCATGCCAGGGGGATCTGTGATGCTTCTACCAGGTTGGTGCTGGGAACAGAGCCCAGAGACATTGGGCTTGACCACAGGACACAGGCAAGCACAGCAGCCCTGGGCAGCACCCAGCCCCAGAGAAGGCAGGCGGGCCGTGCTCTGGCCTTGGGGGAACTTGAGAGGGGCTGGGGGCTGTCAGGGCTGTGTCCCCAGCCTGGTGTACCCAGGAGCTCACCGGTAGAACTGGAGCATGCAGCCAGTGATGGCCATGCCCCCCGGCACCTGGAAGGACATCCTGCCAATGAAGTTCATCTTCTCACCGCTGTCAGGGTGGAAGGCTGAGTCGTACAGCTTCTTGGCATAGAGCAGCTGCTCCTGGCTGCTTCCTGGCGGCACCAGCCCGGCCCTGCAAACCCAAAGCCCATCAGGGGAAGCTGCACAGACCCGCCAGCACCCAGCACTGCTGAGGCACAGAGCTCTGGGCACCACATGAAAGGCAGAGGAAACATCTCCTGAGAAGGATGCATGTCACAGCTTGAAGCTCCTGGGAGAAGCCTGGGAAACCCCCCCAAAACTACTTCCAACAGCTGTTACACCACAGCATACCTGCTTGAGACTGACTGCCTCCATCCCCTGCAACACTGCACAGTGGTTGGGATGGCCATGAACACAGGGATGGCACCTGCCCCATTTGTACCCCTGCCCCTCACCTGCAGCTCTCCACCAGGGCCTTGGCCTGGTCCAGCTCCTCCTCTGACACCAGCACTGTCCGAGGGTCGGTGATGTTGAGGAAGTGCTTCAGGCGCCCCACGAAGGTGCTCTGGTCCCAGCGTGGGGAGTCAATGTCGAAGCTAGGGGAAACTGTGGCCATCTTGGCGTAGGTCTGGGCAGGGGAAAAGGCCACTCAGTAGGATCCTGCCTTGCTTGCTCATTGAGTGCACGCCTGCCACGGCCACAGGAGCAGTCAGCTGGGTGAGAGCCATGGCAGGTTTATATTTAACAGGACAACTGGACTTTCAGCAGCCCCGAGCCCAGGAGGCCCCTGCACTCCTGCTGTCAGCAGAACACTGCAGTCAGGACACTACTTCACACATCACCCTGCTTGCCTGGGGTCACCCCACTTGTGCTGCACCCCACACCCCCTCCTCGGGGTGGTATGGTGCTGCACAGCACTGCAGGGCGCAGCTCAAGCCTCCAAAGGCTGCCCTGCAGGCGTTCCTACAGGGGCACTACTCTGCAGCCCCCGAGGGTGCACACTGTGCTGTGCCCCCTACAGCACCGTCCTGCACATCCCTCTAATGCTGCTCTGCACTGCCATGGCATTGCCCTGCCTGCTCCCCGGGGTGCTGCACCACATGCCCACAGTTCACAGCACAGAATCACAGAAAGAATTAGGCACGAAAATACTTCTGAGATCAGCCTATGACCAAACACCACCACATCCACTACAGCATGGCTAACCTAGTGCCTAACCCTAGACAAGTGCCAAGTTCAGTCTTTACTTAAACACCTCCAAGGGACTGTAACTCCACCATCTCCCTCAGCAGTCCTTTCCAGTATCTAGCCATCCTTCTGTAAAGAAACACTTACTAATGTCCAACCTGAACCTCCTCGTCCTGTCGCTGACTGCCTGGGAGAAGGGGCCTGCTCCCACCTAGCTACACCTCATTTCAAAAGTAGTTGTAGACAGCAATAAGGTCTCCCTAAGCCTTTTCCTCAGGTTAAACGCTCCCAGCTCCCTCAGCCATTTCTCATAAGACTTGAGCTCCAGACCCTTCACCAATTTCCCTGCCCTTCTCTGTAAGGCACGGCACAGCTCGACACACCCCCGGCTCGGCTCGGCCCGGCATGGCAT